ATACCCTTTCTTCCCTTCACTGTCCCTCTTAGATGTTAACCCCTCCCTTCCACGAAAAAGTCAGTCATCAGCGTAATTTTAAAGCTTTTTCTCTCAACACGTAACAAGTGTGGAGCCACACAAATGCTTCTCTATTTGTCATGTATATTGGATTATCATCTAAATCATATTATAAAGCAGAACGAAGAAGCAAACAGTTGTGCTTGCCCTCCTTACTGTTTAGCTCAGCTGAGCTCTTACTGTGGCAAGGCAGGGATATTGTCATTTTAAAAGGGACAGGGGCTAGGGTGTGCTTCCTAAGTCGGAGCTGACTGCTGGGACACGGAAAAAAGCTGAAAACTAGGGAGTATTTTATTTTGCATTTGCATTTGGTTGTGAATGCATTTCAGTCATTAGCTTATTGCAATTAATAGAGCGTAGTTTATGTTGGAATCTGTATGCTTTTTGCTTGTTCATGTTTCCTTTAATACATATAGCTCTGTGCAATCACAGATCCACAGTGAAGGAGAATTTGGAAGTGTTTGTTTAATGTTGCCACACGCTTTCTTCTTTAGTAGGTATTAATGTTGCTGTTTTCTTGAGAACATTGCAATACAATGCTAGACAAGCTCCTCAAGGTGTTCCTTTATTAAAATGTTCATCTTTTAATATCAGAAAATCACCCCGAATCACGTTCCTGTGAGTGATGTAGTGAAGAAAGGATTCCTCATTAGGATAATTGCCATCTCTTTATTTACACTGTCGCATTAATTTTTGAGCCTGAAGCTACCTAGTAATTCATAGGAGCCTACTGTGAGAAAGACAGTCCTATTTTAACAAATCCTTCTTACCGTTGTTTTTTTGTAAGGGTTACTTCTACTGTAATTGCCCTTTTAAGTGCTTTTTCTGGTTTATTCATCTCATGATGTAATTTACATATAAACTTTTATGTTGTGTTTAAGCAAACATACATGGTGCTTCTGGAGTGAAGAAGTACTTCCTATGGTTCTACTAATCCAGAGTTTCTGAGAACAGACTCAAATGAGAATTTGCTCATTTTCTTAGCAGGAGCCAGCTTGTATATTGTTCTATGTATTTATGTATATAGAGATGTGGTTGTGTAAGCTTGTGTGTGCATATCATTCACTATCAGGTTTCATTATGTTGTAACATAAGTATGTACAGCAGAGAGGAGCAAAGAGTTGAAGAGTTTCGGACAAAAGGGTTAATACCATACCTTAATGCGCGTGGATGATGCCATGTGGTATCATTTGTGAGCTCTGAGGTGGCTGGCCATTTCCATTTTGGTGTAAATCCCTTGAGAGGGAAGGCATTTCAGAGCGGAGTGTGATCTGTTCTCCTGGTAAGAGTGATTGACAAGGAATGAATAAATAGTTAAAAGAACTGAATAAATACCACCCTCCTGTTTAAGTCCAGGCACACCCCCGCTGGCACGTATATATTCTTATGCAACACTTTAGCCAGATGCTTGAGTTGGTTGGTAACAAAAAGCATTCCTGAAAAGCCAAATCATAGTTTGATCATAACTGCTTCTGATAGAATTTTCTTTTATGGTGACATTTTAGCAGTGATTTGAATAAATGCAGGGAATTACAGTATTTTGCAAGTAGGGTGTATTGATAAACATATATGCAAAAGGTGATGGAGGCCTCTTGAGTGGAAGCAGGGGCCCTGACAGCAGGTTCTTGGTCAATTGGTGAGGTGAAATGGTTCACTGAATTGGATAACACAGTGCATACCATAGTGACTGATTAAATTGATTTGTCCATGGCTACCACCTACCCTGCTACTGAGGCCCTTTCACCTATTTTCAAACTTTTTTCCTTTTTAAACCACTCTAAATACTTGTGATACTAAGGGAAGGAAGCAAGTGCAAATGCATTCACAGCTATAAAATTCTATATTCTGAATTAAGATGAAACGCTTGATTTCCAGAATGGCTGCGTGCTCCCATGTTGTACTGTATCATACTACGCTTAGCCCAGGAGCAAGTACGCTGCTAGAAACTGAAGAGGAGGATAATAATAAACATCATTCTTTAATATAACCTAAATTGCAACAAATACCACATTTGTGAATTCTTAGGTGTGGTGGAAGGGGAGAAAGTAAAACACTTCAGGGTTTTTGTTGTTGCTGTTCTCTTGTTTTTCTAGTTGCAAGTTTTACTTCCTTAATATGTTATCCAGAAGATGTTTAGAAGGCTTGTCGGGGAGACACAGCTGAATGCCAGTTAAGAAGACTGAATGCTATTGTTAAGTGGGGGTCACTAATTTGAAAATACCTGCAATGATTTAGGAAAAATAGTCAGATGGATATTGTTTAATCACTTAAAACTTTTTTTTTTTAATTATAGGGGAAAAAAGCTTTATGTTTTGGTCTTAGATCAGGATGTTTGCACTTTACAAGATATTTAGTATGTTCTTGCTAGAGAAATTGATACTAAATGAGAGTGGAGCTTGTACATGTTATTTTCTCCTTGATTCAAGGGAAGCTTTATATTCTGTGTCTCTTCATGGGTTATATGTGGTATATGCAGACACATTAGTGTAAGCATAGTCTTCAAATTCCACTGAAAAATTGCATAAAACTTCAGTGCAGCGGTGACATAAAAATGGAACCAGTTCACCTAAAATATGTTATTGCAGTTGTCATTGAAGTGCAGAGTTCAGTATAATGGGTTTGGTTTCTTTTTTCTCATTAACTTTTTGGGAAGAGATGACAATTTAATTACAATGTTTTCTGAAAGGATAATGAAGTTCTGTTCGTCATTTAACTTCTCTAAATTATAGGTCAGTCTTCTAGTACATGACAGCATGCCATGGGCAACGTACGCTGTTTTTTCATTTGTCTGTTAAAATAAAGATATGGTTAGTATCTTGCTAATAGTGAAGAAGAGATATGAAGAGGGAGATGCTAAGGGATTGTTTCTTGTAGTGGATTTGCAAACATTAATAGCCATTTTGCAACCTTTTTAAAAATTATGCAGGTTTTATCAATAGCACTTCTTTGGAAGGTAAAATAAATTATATAGGTGAGAATCCAGCTGTACATACAGCTTTGCATGGACTAAACTTCTTGGTTTTGTATAGACTAGTAGTGACCACTAGCTGAAACAGTGCCTTGTTACTTTCCAGGAATCCGATAATTTAAAACATTTTGATGTGGGCTCAAGCCAGAACATGTTGCACTGTTTTGAACATATTGTTAGTTACAGTTACAGTCTTTTTTAATCCTTCAGTTGACTCCAGCAGGCATAAGTATTTGTGCAGTTATTTTTTTTAATTATTTGATGGTTAAGGGAAAGCAAAAAAAATGGCTTTAGTTCTCTCCAGTAGTGTGCTAGCTTATAATAAATTGTCTATGCATTCGGTGCAAGTTTCATAAAACAAGGAAAGAGAAGCTATAGAAAAATAGCCAAAATAGAAAGCTCAGTGGTGAACATGCCTGGCATAAGGTCACCATGCCAAAGTCGTATAAGTATTTCCTTGCGTCATGTGTTACAATATGTAGCCCAAGGACTGGAGCTCCTGGCACGTGCTACAAAGCGAGAGGATTCAGTAAGGAATTGCTGGAGGTTTCTTCATGACTCCCCTGGCTAACAAGGTTAATAGAAGAGTATTTGTGGATTTTAGCCATTTTTGAGACCTGGGGAGGAGGCCCTCTGCGGCCATCAGCTCCTGGGCAGCCGTGTCCTGTTGCAGATGGCACCCCGGGACACCACCGCTTGCATGCGGTTTGGGAGCTTCCAGAGAAAACAAGCAAACTCTGTTTTATGACTCTTGCCGGGGCTTTATTTATTTTCTTTTGAATCAAAACTGTAAACGCCATTACGGACCCTCTGCAATATAAGCACTGCAAAAGTTTGGCCCCTGCCTCTGCTCGCCGTGCCGTGGCAGAGCTGGAGGAGGCAAGGTGCCGGGCAAGAGCCCGGGTACTCACAGGGCACTGCGCGTCTCCTCCACCTTCGGGTTTCCCTGGCTGAAAGCGGTGTGTCCATTGGGACGTGGTTACATCTGAAGCTTAATATCTCTCCTCAGCACCGTCTCCATAGCCCCGACCTGGAGGCAGGTGCACGCAGAGTGAAACCACCTCAGGGTGAAGCTGCCTCAGAGTGAAATCACCTCAGGGTGAAGCCACCTGAGGGTGAAGCTGCCTCAGGGTGAAGCCACCTCTGGGTGAAGCCACCTCCGGGTGAAACCACCTGAGGGTGAAGCCGCCTCAGGGTGAAACCACCTGAGGGTGAAGCCACCTGAGGGCAAAGTCACCTGAGG